AAGCACATGTTAAAGCTTGTAGGAGGAGTTTTCATTCTGCTCTAGGAGGATGCAATAACCCCTGATCCTCTATCTGGACAGTGCTGATTGGCCTTGTGCTGATCACATGCACTCTCCCAATAAAAAAAAGACTCTTTAGCAATACACACCAAACTGAGCATGTGCAGAGTGACTCCACACCATGTGTCTTATCAGGAGATAAGAGGGGGACATTGGAAGAAGGGAAGGATCAACGAAGTCAGGATCAAACAGCATTTTTACGCAATGCGGAGGATTAACCCCTTAGGTTCCACAGTGAGTATAACAAGCATGCTTTACAGCATATACAGACTGATTTTACTGTCGTGGGTTTAGTAACACTTTAAGTTTACTAGCTGAGAGGATCTTATCTGCTCCTGCTTGTAGATACTCAAGTACTGCATTCAGGATAGGTGCGTCCAGCCCAGCGTTTTCCATCTTCCAGAAAGAAAATCTTTTCCAGATTTTGTCATAATTGGCATTAGTGGACTTTTTTTCATCCACTTAAAATGGTAGTGAATACTTTTCCTTACAGACCTTTTCTGGCTAGCCTTTGCCACTCAGAAGCCATGCTGCTAGTGACAGCCTCTCCGGGAGTGGGTGTAGTACCTTCCCCTGCACTAGAAAGTCTTTCCTGGGTGGAATTATCCAGGGATCCGCCAGACTCAATTTCTTTAACTGCTTCCTGACCTCCCTGTAGCAGAAATACGGGTACATTCCGGGTACGCAAAATCACGTATATATACATGATTTTGCATTTCCGGGTAGGGGGCGCGCCCTAACCGCGCGCGCTCCGCCATTCGCAATCGGGCCTGTCAATCACTGGGCCCTGTTGATTTCCGAGGATCTCCGACGGGGAGGAGAACTGTTTTGTTTACTAACAATTCTCCTCCCTGTCAGCTTGGGCACAGTGCTTTAGATAGCTGGAAGCACACTGACACCGCCCCCTAGTAAAACACTCCCAGCACACAGGTAACCCTTTGATCGCCCCTCATGTTAACCCCTTCCTGTGTCAGTGCTGTTTTTTGAGCTCTGATCACTCTATTGGGCTCTGAGGAAGAGGCAAGTCCTCGAAACGCGTCAGCCTATTGGATGTCTACATTCCCCATTGCGGACTGTTACTCAGCGCGGTGTTGACCCAGCTGTTCTTTTATGATGTGCCTTGACTATATTGTCGTTTTTGAGTACAACACCTATTTTATTTCTTATTAAACATTTTTTATGGTAATGCACTAGGCCTGTGCGCCCTCTCTTTGTTCTTTCCTCATTCAGTGTATTTGGATTCCCCCGGTCTGTTGAGGGCAGCAAGGTGTGCATGTTCCAGGACATTCTTAAGGTGGTTGCAGCCTGCATCAAGTCCATCCCCAAGCGCAGGAGCATTTGTGTTTGCTGGTTCACTGTATTGGTGTCACTGGGAATCTCAGTGACACCAAGTCAGTTCCCCCCAGTGTCAGAATGTCCGCCGCAGTTCCGAAATAAGTCGCTGATCACCGCCATTACTAGTATAAATAAAGTATATATAACACCATTTGTAAACGCTATAACTTCCACATAAACCAATTAATTTACATGTATTGGGATTTTTTTTAGCAAAGACATATAGCAGAATACATTTTGATGTAAATGTATGACAAAATTGTATTTTTTAAATTTTTTTACCGGACGTGTTTAATAGCAAAAAGTAAAAAATATAGTTTTTTTTCAAAATTGTCGGTCTTTTTTTTTGTATAGTGCAAAAAATAAAAACGCACAGGCGATCAAATACCACCGAAAGAAAGCTCAATTTGTGGGAAAAAAGTACGTAAATTTAATTTGGGTGCAGTGTTGCATGACCACGCAATTGTCAGTTAAAGTAACGCAGCGCTGTAACGCAAAAAATGGCAGGAGGGCAAGTGGTTAAGAAGGAAAGTCCTGACCTTTCTTGCCAAAATACTGGTATTAGGATGACCTTGGTGTGAGACATCTGTATTTTCTGTAAGACTCTCAGTAGCAGCTTGAAAGGCGTAAAGGAGATCCCCCTCCCATGGCTGAGCTAATGCGTCTGTGTACGCACTTTGGGGGTCTCTTTGTAGACAAAAGTATTTGCTTATCTTCGGTTTTCTTCTGTTGGCAAAGAGGTCTATCGATGGAATAGTAAACCAATAAATGATGAAGCGCTAAACTAATATAATAGCACAATTTGATAAAAATAAATAGGTTATGCAAAATATTAAAAACCAAACTCCATATTCATAATTAATATAATACAAATAATATTGATATTCAACAAATAATATATAAATATATTAATATTTTGCACAACCTATTTATTTTTTAACAAATTGTGTTATTATATTAGTTTAGCGCTTCACCATTTATTGGTTTACTTTGTCATATCCTGAGGTATAGGGAATAGGTGATAGCAGCTGGCACATTTAATAGGGGCCTATATAGTTGAGCGCAGGAGGACTTTCCCATTTCTTGCTATTGATGGAATACTCCATCTGCTGCAGATTCAGGCAAATGCCACGTGGCTGAGGCACCACTCCCACTGGTTGATTTCCTATTTAGCTTGTCTGCCAGAGAGTTCAAGTGCCCCTTCAAATGAACCGCCGTGATTGACCTTGTATTGTTGTGCATATAAATTGCTTTGGTATCAATTTGGTAAATTGCCTTGCTTTGGTATCAATCTCAATTGATACAAATTTTCTCTGAAAAGCAATGTAGGGGCTAAACGCTAGTGCTGGCAGCGAAGGGGGCTGATCCTGCTAACACTGCATTTTTGGGGACACTAAACTAAGCAAGCACTAGTATAGTTCTGTTCATGATCAATATATTGATCTGTACAAACACTATACTAGTAACGGCTGCGATTAGTGACCTATAGCGTGGGTGTGATAGTGTGTGGGGCAGTCTAACGCTAGCTGGGGGGGGGGCGCTTACTGACCTTCACACTATCTGATGTCGCTAGGGAGAGTAATAAGTGTGTGTGTAAAATGTACTACTTTTACTCACAGTGTAGTGTTCTCTCCCTGGACCGATGGGGGGTGGGTGCAGCAGGGAGCGCACGCATAAATGCTCACACCTGGAAAAAGAAAGCAACGTAAGGGTACATCACTTAGCCCAGAGCCGCCACTTGCCTGCACATCACAGGCAGGTGGTTGGCAAGTAGTTAAAAAATTTTTTTTCAATTTTCTTTTAACATTTTTTTTTTTTCATTATTTAAAAAAAACTTTCATCAGAGTAGTGCAATGTTACCATAGTGGGTTAAGTTCATGACCAGGGGCGGACTGACCATTTGAGCACTTGGGCAGTGCCCGAGGGCCTGGGATCAGTAGGGGGCCCCATGAAATGCCACTGGTACCTTTTTATAGGCTTTTTTGGGTTTGTTTTGAGTATGGGCAAGGACACAGGGGCCCCATGATCCCCTTTTGCCCGGGGGCTTCATGAGTTGTCAGTCCACCCCTGTTCATGACAGTATAAAATACTGTGATTGGCTACAGCTGATCACATGGTACAGGGTGCTGTAATTGGCCAATGCACTATGTGAGAGCTGCGGGCCAATCACAGCTCATTAGGAAGGTAAGCAGAGTTGTCATGAATCAGATTGATTCATAACAGCTTTGCTAGCATTGTGATCATGTGATTGCATAGCCATCACATGACCACTGCGTCCCGACCACAGTGCTCGTACAGCCAGAGCAATGTTCCGGTACGTCGCTCTACCTGTAGCTGCCGCCTGACAGCAGTAAAAGTACTGCAGGCGGTCGGCAAGTGGTTAAGCAGGTGGTTAGTTGGATGGCATGGTTGGATCTAGGGGGGTGCAACCCACTGCACCCCTCAGATTTCAGTTGTGCCCCCCCAGGCTGCCCCCCCCATAGACTTTATGCTTGGCCCACTGAACTTCTCCCCCCATCCCTGTACTCAGGGCCCGGGACAAGAGGAAGGCAGCTTGGCACAGTGAATTACGGAAAACAGTAAAGTCTGGACAGAAGTGACAGTAGTAGAGAGGAGAGAGCAGGGAGGAGGTGCAGACTGTGCTGTGCTCTCCTGCCTGCTGTCAGAACAGTGCTCCTCCTTACAGCAGATGACACAGGTTCGCTCTCCAGTCAGACTGTACATGATTTGATCACCTGCCCTATACCCACATTTCCTGCTGCTGGGAGATGAGCAGTCCTTGGAGAGGATAGGGGGTGGGTACAGTGGTGTATTTAGGTTTTGTGCTGCACTAGGCAACACAAAAATTGGTGCGCCCTCCCCCCTTTCTGGCAGAAAGAGCCTGACATTGACCAAGAACACCCTTACCCTCCACCCGAGCCTTCCACTACCACTGTCCCCCACACACCAGCCACCATCCCCCATGGCGGGAGAGAGAAAGACACTCACCTTCACAGCTCCAAACATCGCCAGGAAAAAGAATCGGGCTGTGCATACACCGTCATGAAACCCACAGCATCTCTCGGAGCCCACCAGGTCCCCATGCCGTGTGAGTCCCTTCATCCAAGGGACAGTGCTGCCAACCCTGAAAAATGCTGCCCTAGGCAAATGCCTTGTTTGCCTTGTGGTAAATACACCCCTGGGTGGGTAATCAAACAGTGTACACAGGGCCAATGCTTCCTCTCGGCAACCCAGGCAGCTGTCTAGGGTGCACTGTCATCTAGGGATGCCTGGAATCAGCGCAGGCCAGCATTCTCTCTGTGTGGGACGCTGCCATATCACAAATGATCCTTCAGCTGAGGGGAGGGGCAGCAGAGGGAAGGAAGAAAGGACAGAGGAACATGCTGGGTGTCTGGGGCCAGTGTAGCAGCTGAGCTTTCACTCCTTCCAGTGTTCCTCTCAGACTCAGTCCCTTACTGCAAACCGGCTGGTGGCTGCTAATCACTGTGAAGTTCCAGCCCTTCTCTTCTCATTCATCTGCGGATGTGAAGCTGTGCCTACGGAAGAAGGTAATGTCTGCCTCTGATGTCTCGTGTTTGTGTGTGACCTGGCTGGCCATCCATCACATGTGCAATGTGTTTGTAACTGATAATATCATCATGATCCCACAGCCTGCTCTTCTAGTGCCTGCTGGGCCTACTGATCTGTGTCAGTGTTGGTGGTGGTGTGTTGTGTCGGGTCTTTCACTGTGTGGGATAGCTCAGTTCAGCTGCTTGCTGTCACAGTGTTTTATCTCCCCCCATTGCCTGGGGAATTCCAGCCTGGGATCTTTTAGAGTGTGGATCCATCATCCTCCACTCACTGAAACTGTCACCCTGCCACTGCCAGCCACAGATACAGTCCATCCGTGACACTGATTTTGTCTTTAATATTGGTGCTGATGGCACTTATTTTTTGCGAATTAAAAGAAATTTAGCAGTTTAATGTTTTGTTGATTTAATATTTTCTAATGTTGTTAAATTTATTTATTTATTTATTTATTTTTTTTGGGGGGGGGGGCATAAGTAGCTGGTCTTGCCAGGGGCACAAAATAGTCTAGCAATGGCCCTTCATGTACAGTCTGATCTGAAAGCAATCCTGTGTCATCTGCTGTATCGAAGGGGACTGTATTGAGGGAGGAATTGTACTGCACACTAGGTGGTGTGTGTGTGTGTGTGTGGGGGGGGGGGGGGGGAGTAACAATCATTTGTGCTTGGAATGAGAGGTTTTTGGAGCAGGGGGGAAGGTGGGGTATTTGTGCTGGGAAAGGGAATTTGGGGGGGGGGGGGGGGGGATTCGTGCTAGAAGTAGAATTGGGGTTAAGTGTTAGGAGGCGGCATGGGGATTTGTGCTTGGAGGGGGGATTTGGGGGAGAGAGGAATTATGCTGGGGGGTATATTGTTGCTGGGAAAAGTAATTTGGAGGGGGTTGTGCTGGGAAAAGAGGGATTTGTGCTAGGATGGGTGATTGATGCTAGAAAGGGGGATTTGGGTGGAGAGAATTTGTGCTGAGAGGGGGGATTTTGGGGGGAGAAATGGGGGGGGGATTTGTGCTAGGAGGGGGATTTCGGGGAGAGAGGAATTATGCTGGGGGGGGTTTCTGGGAAGAGTAATTTGGAGGGGGTTATGCTAAGAGGAGAGGGATTTGTGCTAGGATGAGGGATTGATGCTAGAAGGGGAGTTTTGGGTGGAGAGAATTTGTGCTAGGAGGGGGGATATTGGAGGGTGGATTTGTGCTAGGAGGGGGAATTTGAGGGGATAATAGTTGTGTGCTAGGGATTGATGCTAGAAGGGGGGATTTGAGGGGATAGTGGATATGGAATAGGAGGAGGGGTATTTTTGTTTGGGGAGAATGTTGGCTTGCAGAGGGATTTTATGCTTAGGGGGTAAGTGTCCTGGTCAGTGCTGTGTTTTGGGGGAGAGGGATTTCTGCTGGGACAAGATGCTTACACATGGGGGGCAGTTTGTCATCTTTGCCCTGAGTGCTAGATGACCTTGTCCAAGCATTGCCCCACTGCACACAAGAAACAGAACAGGTCTCCTCCTCCCTAGATAGCACATGGGATTCCCCATGTTGAGTGCCCTGCCAGCAGTGACCTTGGGCACAATTCACCAAGCGGTATCTTACCACATCCGAGTATTAGGTAACATACCGCATAGCATTTTTTTAAAAAGAAAATTTGCATTCACTGAAAAACACTACTAAAATACCGCATGAGTTATTTTATCAAGTCAAATGATATTTTAGTAGTGAAAACCATGCGTTAATGTTTCAGCTGTCAGCGGGGTTCCACTCTGACAGCTGAAAAAAAGAATTGCTGGCAGTTACATTTTTTTTTTAAATGGTGTGGGGGGGTCCCCCCAAAATCCATATTAGACCCTTATCTGAGCATGCAGCCGCACACCATAGCAGGCTGCATGCTCTCAACATGGGGTGTGCTTTGGGGCAGGGGGGGTTCCCCCCCAAAGCACCTTGTCCCCGTGTTGATGGGGACAAGGGCCTGTTCCCCACAACTATGTCCGGTTGTTGTGGGGGACTGTTGGCTGGGGGCTTATTGGAATCTGGAAGCGCCCTTTAACAAGAGAGCCCTCAGATCCCAGCCCCCCCCCCCCACCTACATGAATGAATATGAGGTACATGGTACCGCTACTCATTCACAAAAAGTGTAGTGTAAAAAAAGACAGGAGACAGTCTCTGACAAGTCCTTTATTAAAAGAAGAAAAATAGAAAAAATGTCTCCCCGAAGTAGATCAAACATCAATCACGATGCCCGCCACCCCGAAAAAAAAAAAGCCTCTACTCTTGACGCTGGCTCCTGCCTTCTGACAGCTCTTAAATATCTAAGGGGGTGGGCCTGTGTGACCCCGCCCCATTGTGACATCATTGACCAAGGCACGCTGGGGTGATGATGTCAGAAGGGGTGGAGTCACATAGGTGATGTCACCCCAGTCCTCTGCTGACTCCTATACACAGCCCTGCTGCTGACCTCCCATCCACTGCCCCCCCTGACATTTTTTACTGCACCCCCACATCAAACAGGCCAGATCCGGTCCTACAGGTGGTAAATCTATGTCTGCTCTGGCTGTCTTTATGGCCTGATGTGACTGAGCCCCGCTTGTATAATGGGTGTGGATCAGAGGGAAATTGTGGGGTCACATGGAAGGATGACATGGAAGGATGGCATGCAGGGGTGGGACGTTCTCCTCTGTCATAATACCATGAACTGCCATCACTGTATACAGAAGTAGCTCCAGGATGAGCCGGGAGAACACTGATGGAATTTGGGAAGTCCACAGCGAACACATCTGAATGACACATAGTGCCTTATCTGCATTACATCAGCCTCAGAACCTGTGTCATTCATGTGTTCGGGTGTAAAGGGATGAGGCGGCAACTCTACTTCCACTGATGAGATCAATGACACTTCCAAAGTAATGCTCCCCTACACACGATGAGCCCCGCACCCTCCGATCACCGTCCCGTGTATGAGTCCGCTCTATGAAGCCCTCACCCCCCAGTCAGGGTCTATATTTCTACACCGCGGAGTGTTACGGGCGGGTCCTCCCTGTACTGTATACAGGTGAGCCAGGTGCGCGGAGGAATCAAACAGCACTTTCATACACACATTATTCATGAGATGGGGGCGTAGTTACAGACATTGAACGTCATCCAACCTACGAGGCGTGGTCTGAGAGCCGGAGGCCCACTTTTTGATTGGCTGCCCGGCATAAGGGTGTTATGAATATGTAATAAGCCGGCCCCTGGCTCACTGAACCAGGAAGCGGCTGCGGCCCAGGCGCCTCCCGCGGGATACGGATCGGGGTAGACGCCGGACACGGGGCAGGTGAGGGGGTGTGTGACCGGGTGGTGGGGGCGCGGACTTTGGGGATGATATGGGGGAGCTGTGATGGTTGTGTGGTCCGGCCCGGTGGTGTCCGGAGAGGGGATGCAGGGCAGTGATGGGAGGCTGCAGAGTGGTGTGTGCCCGCTGGGTGTCGGTGTACGGGGGGGTGAGACAGGTGTACAGATGGAGGGAGCCGGAGCGGAATCCGGCCAACACGGCACACAGCTACGTCTGAGACAACAGGTGTGTACACCGGGGGCGGAGACAAAGTTCACTGCGTGTGAGAAAGCGATGTATATTGACCGACAGACCTGTATACTGACCTCCTCCTCCTGTATACCGCGTGAGGGAGATGTATACCGACAGACCTGTATACTGACCTCCTCCTCCTGTATACCGCGTGTGAGGGGGATGTATACCGACCGACCTGTATACTGACATCCTCCTCCTCCTGTATACCGTGTGTGAGGGAGATGTATACCGACCGACCTGACCTGTATACTGACATCCTCCTCCTCCATACCGTGTGTGAGGGAGGGAGATGTATACCGATGTACCTGTATACCGACCGACCTGTATATGACATACTCCTCCTCCATACCGTGTGTGAGGGAGATGTATACTGACCGACCTGTATACCGCGTGACATGTATACCCTCCTCCTCCTCCTATACCGTGTGTGAGGGAGATGTATACCGACCTGTATACTGACATGTACTCCTCCCTCCTACCTGTATATACCGACGTGTGTGAGGGAGATGTATACTGACCGACCTGTATACAGTGTGTGAGGGAGATGTATACCGACCTGTATACTGACATACTCCTCCTCCTGTATACCGTGTGTATACCGCGTGTGAGGGGGATGTATACCGACTGACCTGTATACTGACATACTCCTCCTGTATACCGCGTGTGTGAGGGGGATGTATACCGACCGACCCGTATAATGATATCCTCCTCCTGTATACCGCGTGTGAGGGGATGTATACCGACTGACCTGTATACTGACCACCTCCTCCCGTATACCGTGTGTGAGGGAGATGTATATACCGACCGACCTGTATTCTGACATCTGACAGGGGATGTATACCGACCGACTCCTCCTCCTGTATACCGCGTGTGAGGGAGGGGTATACCGACCGACCTGTATACTGACATACTCCTCCTCCTGTATACCGTGTGTGAGGGAGATGTATACTGACATACTCCTCCTGTAGGGAGATATACCGTGTGTGTGAGGGGGATGTATACCGACCAATCTGTATACTGACATACTCCTCCCGTATATACCGTGTGTGAGGGGGATGTATACCGACCTGTATACTGTGAGGGGATGTATACCGACCTGTATACCTCCTCCCCTCCTATACCGTGTGTGAGGGGATGTATACTGACCTGTATACCGTGTGTGAGGGAGATGTATACTGACATACTCCTCCTCCTGTATACCGCGTGTGAGGGAGATGTATACCGACCGACCTGTTTACTCCTACTGACATACCTCCTCCTCCTCCTGTATATCGTGTGTGAGGGGGATGTATACCGACCGACCCGTGTATACTGACATACTCCTCCTGTATACCTGTATACCGCGTGTGAGGGGGATGTATACCGACCGACCCGTATACCGTGACATACTGACATACTCCTCCTGTATACCGCGTATACGTGTGAGGGGGTATACCGATGTATACCGACCGACCCCGTATACTGATATCCTCCTCCTGTATACCGCGTGTGAGGGGGATGTATATACCGACCGACCTGTATACTGACATACTCCTCCTCCATACCGTGTGTGTGAGGGAGATGTATACCGACTGACCTGTATACTGACCCGACCTCCTCCTCCTACCGTGTGTGAGGTGAGGGAGATGTATACCGACCGACCTGTATACTGACCTCCTCCTCCCCTGTATACCGTGTGTGAGGGAGATGTATACCGACCGACATGTATACTGACATCCTCCTCCTCCTCCTGTATACCGCGTGTGAGGGGGATGTATACCGACCTGTATACTGACATACTCCTCCTCCTGTATACCGCGTGTGAGGGGAGATGTATACTGACATACTCCTCCTGTATACCGCGTGTGAGGGGGATGTATACCGACCGAATCTGTATACTGACATACTCCTCCCATATACCGTGTGTGAGGGAGATGTATACCGACCTGTATACTGACCTCCTCCTCCTCCTGTATACCGTGTGTGTGAAGGGAGATGGGAGATGTATACCGACCGACATGTATACTGACCTCCTCCTGTATACCGCGTGTGAGGGGATGTATACCGACCTGTACATACTGACATACTGTACCTCCTCCTGTATACCGCGTGTGAGGAGGATGTATACCGACCTGACCTGTATACTGACATACTCCTCCTCCTGTATACCGCGTGTGAGGGAGATGTATACCGACCCGTACCGACCCGTATACTGACATACTCCTCCTGTATACAGCGTGTGAGGGGGATGATGTATACCGACCTGACCCGTATATACTGACATATACTCCTCCTCCTGTATACAGCGTGTGAGGGGGATGTATACCGACATCCTGACATACTCCCCTGTATACGCGTGTATATACCGCGTGTGAGGGGGATGTATACCGTGTGAGGGGGATGTACCGACTGACCTGTATACTGACATCCTCCTCCTCCTGTATACTGCGTGTGAGGGGGATGTATACCGACCTGTATACTGACATACTCCTCCTGTATACCGTGTGTGAGGGGAGATGTATACCGACCGACATACGCCTCCTGTATACCTCGTGTGAGGGGGATGTATACCGACAGACCTGTATACGGACATCCTCCTCCTGTATACCGCGTGTGAGGGGGATGTATACCGACCGACCTGTATACTGACATCCTCCTCCCCTCCTGTATATCGCGTGTGTGAGGGGGATGTATACCGACCTGTATACTGACATCCTCCCTCCTGTATACCGTGTGTGAGGGGGATGTATACCGACCGACCTGTATACTGACATACTCCTCCTCCTGTATACTGTGTGTGAGGGGGATGTATACCGACCGACTTGTATACTGACATACTCCTCCTCCTGTATACCCGACATCCTCCTCCTGTATATCGCGTGTGAGGGGGATGTATACTGACCTGTATACTGACAACCGCCTCCTCCATACCGCGTGTGAGGGGGATGTATACCGATCTGTATACTGACATCCTCCTCCGCCACCTTTATACCGCGTGTGTGAGGGAGATGTATACCGACCGACCTATATACTGACATAATCCTCCTGTATACCGACCGACCTGTATACTGACATACTCCTCCTGTATACCGTGTATGAGGGGGATGTATACTGACCGACCTGTATGCCGACATACTCCTCCTGTATACCGCGTGTGAGGGGGATGTATACCGAACTGTATACTGACATACTCCTCCTCCTGTATACCGCCAGACCTGTATACTGACATACTCCTCCTCCCTGTATACCGCGTGTGAGGGAGATGTATACCAACCGATATGTATACTGACATCCTCCTCCTGTATATCGCGTGTGAGGAGGATGTATACCGACATCCTCCTCCTGTATACCGCGTGTGAGGGGGAGATGTATACTGACCGACCTGTATACTGACATACTTCTCCTCCTCCTGTATACCGCGTGTGAGGGAGATGTATACCGACCTGTATACTGACATACTCCTCCTCCTGTATACCGCGTGTGAGGGAGATGTATACCGACCTGTATACTGACATACTCCTCCTGTATACCGTGTGAGGGAGATGTATACTGACATACTCCTCCTGTATACCATGTGTGAGGGGGATGTATACCGACCGCCTCCTGTATACCGCGTGTGAGGGAGATGTATACCGACCGACCTGTATACTGACATCCTCCTCCTGTATACCGACAGACCTGTATACTGACATACTCCTCCTCCTGTATACCGTGTGTGAGGGAGATGTATACTGACCGACCTGTATATAGAGATACTACTTCTGTATATAGTGTGTGGGGGCATGTATACTGACAGACCTGTATACTGAGATACTAGTCCTCCTGTATACTGTATGTGAGGGGGATGTATTCTGACTGACCTGTAGTGTGTGTAAGATGTATACTGCCTGACTGACCTGTATACTGCATCAGCAAGAAAGATATACACAATATTGCCAAAAGTATTGGGCCGCCTGCCTTTACACACACATGAGCTTCAATGGCACCCCAGTCTTAGTCTGTAGGGTTCAATATTGAGTTGGCCCCGCCCTTTGCAGCTATAACAGCTTCAACTCTTCTGGGAAGGCTGTCCACAAGGTTTAGGAGGGTGTCTATGGGAATGTTTGACCATTCTTCCAGAAACACATTTGTGAGGTCAGGCAATGATGTCAGATGAGAAGGCCTGGCTCACAGTCTCCGCTCTAAGGCTGCATTCACACTTGAGTGTTTTGTAGCTTGAAGCTCCAAAAAAACGCTCAAACTGAAATCAATTGTTTTCTATGGTGCCTGTTCGCACAATCAGGTGTGAACAGGCACTATAGAGAAGAAAAAAATCCCCCCTCCACCAAACTTTACACTTGGAACAATGCAGTCAGGCAAGTAATGTTCTCCCCAGCAACCACTAAACCCAGACACATCCATTGGATTGCCAGACAGACGTGTGATTCATCATTTCAGAGAACATGTCTCCTTTGCTCTAGAGTCCGGTGGCGGCGTGCTTTACACCACTGCATCTGATGCTTTGCATTGGTGATGTAAGGCTTGGATGGAGCTGCTCGGCCATGGAAATCCATTCTATGGAGCTCTATACACACTGTTGTGCTAATCTAAAGGCCACACAAAGTTTGGAGGTCTTTAGCTATTGACTCTGCCACAGTTGGCGACCTCTGTGTGCTTCAGCATGCGCTGACCCGGCTCTGTCATTTTTACGTGGCCTATCGCTTGGTGGCTGAGTTGCTGTTGTTCCCAGTTGCTTCCACTTTGTTATAATCCCACTAACAGCTGACTGTGGAATATTTTGTAGCAAGGAAATTTCACGGATAGACTTATTGCACAGGTGGCAACCTATCACGGGACCACACTTGAATTCACTGAGCTCATTCTTTCACAAATGTTTGTAGAAGCAGTCTGCATACCTAGGTGCTTGATGTTATACACCTGTGGCCATGGGGGGGGGGGGGGGGGGGGGGGGGGGGGATTGGAATATCTGAATCCAATGATTTGGAGGGCTGGCCCAATAGTTTTGGCAATATAGTGTATATACTGACTGGCTGACCTGTATACTGAGCTACTGCTCCTTTATACTACCACCGCCATCACCCCTAATGTATACTACTACTCCTCTTGTATAATACTACATTAGTGTGTGTGTGATGTATACTGACTGACTTGTATACTGAACTACTCCTGTAAACTACTACTGCCACTCCTCCTCCTTTTGTGTTTTTTTTTTTTTTGGTCTGCACTAGAATCTGATTGCATGGGTATTCGCACCCATACGATCCGATTCTGCACTGCATTTTGTGGACCGATTTCAGGGTTTTGTTAACATACACACCCGCGGAGGTGCGCATGAACGGGGTGCGATTGTGATGCGGTGCGGAATTCTACAGAAACTGCTGCGAATTCCCCACCGCATCAGTGTGAACCCAGGCTTACAGCTCTAAGTTCTTCCTTTTTGATCTCCAGATAAATTAACAGAATGATACAAATGTGACAGTATGCTACATTGTATCTTTTTTCAGTAGCGTTGTTCATAAACACTGCCAGACTGCTTTTTTTTTTTTTTTTTTTTTTTTCACAGCTAAACTGTCAACACCTTCTCTGCATATACAGTAATAACGTTTGCTGACATTTTAGGAAGGCCATAGCGGAGTCAAAAACCAAACGAAAATTCTTGTGGATAGCCAGTTTTAGTGTTTCACAACATTAGTGTGCCCGCTGCAACACATGATTTTTGTGCCGCAACCGAAAGTGCTTTATCCAAAATGTTTGATTTTTTAAAAAGTTTTTTGTAAACACAAATTAATTTATTATTATTATTATATAGCGCCAACAGTTTGCTCAGCTCTTTACAATATAATTGGAGACAATACAGCAACAATACAGTTCAATACAAGAGGGATAGGAGGGCCTGATCCTCGGAGCTTACAATCTAGGAGGGAGGCTCATTGATGGGGGGGGGGGGGGGGGAAATCATATGAAAAAGTTAAATAAAAATGAACTGTGCATAAGGTAGGAAAGTGAACCAAAAGGAAAAAGTTAATTGTCAAGAAAGTTCGTTCTTGCATTAACCCTTTCGCTGCTATAGTCACACGTTTAACCACTTCAATACTGGGCACTTTTACCACCTTCCTGCCCAGGCCAGTTTTCAGGTTTCAGTACTCACTCTTTGACAATTGCGCAGTCATGCAACACTGTACCCAAACTAAATTTTTATCATTTTGTTCACACAACTATAGAGCTTTCTTTTGATGGTGGTATTTTAATCACCACTGGGGTTTTTATTTTTTGCTAAATTAACCAAAAAAAGACAGAAAATTTTGGAAAAAACCCAGGTTTTTCTTTGTGTTATAAAAGTTTGCAAGTTAATAATTGTTCTTCATAAATTTAGGCCAAGATGTATTCTGCTACATTTCTTTGGTGAAAATAATCGAAATCTGTATTCATTATTTAGTCTGTAGGAAAGTTATAGAGTTCACAAACTATGGGATAAATCTGAAAATTGATCAATCCTGAAGTACTGACGGCCAATCTAATTTCTTGAGGGTCAAAAATGTCAGAACAGTACAGATATCCCCCAAATGACGCTTTTCTGCAAAGTAGACAGTCTGACATATTTCATAAGAAGCATGGCGAGTGTTTTGAAGTTGTAATTTTGTCATTTTTCGGAAATTTCAAAATTTTTTTTTTTTTACATGCTGTCACCAGTGCAGTACAGCATCATCATATAACTGGTATGGCGATGATCAGGGACATTGACTGGTGACAGAACGAAAAAAAAAATTGATTTTTTTTTCAAGTGTTTTTTTTTTTTCCATAACATTGTACTACTTTGAGAGAGTGATTAGTATTTTTTTTTTTAAGCACAATTTGCTTATAGGAAAGCATTTCTTTGCTATAAGCAACCATTTAACTGAATGAAATCGATTCATTCAGGTTTTTCTGTTTTGATTGGTCATGGCTAATCACATGACACAGATGGACTGTGATTGGCCCAGCCTGTGCATGTGATCACTGTGACCATCTCCTAGATTGTAAGCTCGAAAGAGCAGGGCCCTCAATCCCCCTCATGTTTTGCATTGTATTGTTGTTTTTTCTGTCACATGTTCTGTCCCCCTTTGTAATGTACAGCGCTGAGCAAACTATTGGCGCTTTATAAATACTGAATAATAATAATAATTCACAGCGAGACACAATTGTATACAATGAATGGCATGAAAGGAAGCCATCCATTGTTTACAGCTGTCATGTGACCTGTTATTGGTCACAGCAAGTCGCATGGTACTGGCAATGGGGCCGGTACACAGGTCTGTTATCGGCCGTGTCCCAGGTACACAGCCGTTGACAGATCCCGCCACAGCACGACCTTGCGGGCACGCGCAAGACATCATATGACACCCTCCCGGAGGGGCGAGAGGCTGTCATTTTACTATAGGCCAGGCGGGAAGTGGATATAAAAATCAGTTTAGACCTGAAGATTACATAAACCCCCAAAAGATTATGTATTTTCTAAAAGTAGACACCCTAGAGAATAAAATGGTGGTAGTTCCATTCTTTTATGTTGCACAATATTACTGCAAATATACAAAATACGCCAAAGTTCATTTTAGGGCACACAAACGCAACAAATTACCCAGTTTGGTAAAATAAAAAAGACGAGGTTGCACCGATACCTTACATGGCAAACCATAAATTTGCGTGCTTGAGTGTAAACTTTTTTTTAATGTGTTACAAATAAATAAAACTTTTTACATTTTTATCACCCGTGGGTTTTTTTTTTAATGGATCTGGCAGTGAAAGGGTTACACACGTTCAACTAGCATGAACTAATACACTCCTAGCACCAGGAAACCTCAAAGGTACATATGATTTCGTGGAATACACAAATGTCTTTGCTTTAAAATTTTAAAAATGTTGACAGCGGATGTACTAAGCAGACTAGGCATGAGTGCTTTTCAGTAAATACACCAGCAAACATCAAGTCTGCTTTGTACATAACTTGCTACAGTGTATAGATAAAGGAAACCTATAGCACGTAAACATTAAAATAAAGACAACAAACACAAAAATATCCAGGACAACCACGTTTGTTTTGCAAAACAGGCGCAAAAAATGTTTAATTGCTTCACGACCACCTGCAGTGTACTGCGGCAGGGCGGCAGCTACAGGCAAAGTGACGTACCCGTATGTCACTCTGGCCGTACTAACACAGAGGCACTGTGTGCCCAAGTAGGCGCGCAGTGCTCCCCCCCCCCCCCTTCCCCCTCGCGACTACTGTGTCCAGCGGAATGAAGATCCCGGCAAACGGGACCCGATCATTACAATGTAAGCAAAGCTGTTATGAATCAATCTCATTCACAACAGCTCTGCTTGCTCCTCTTCTTAGTGAGCTGTGATTGGCCCACAGCTGTCACATGATACATGGGGCCAATCACAGTACTATCCTGAACTGTCAAAACTTGGCTCATTCAAGACAGTTGATGGAGTTAGGTTCATGACAGCAAAAGCAAAGTAATACTATTCTGATCCTGTCCCACAGGGGAATCTGAGAATGCAGGCGGAAGTTACACTGGCTGATCATGAAGCTGGTCAGAGACCAGAATGGTGCCAATCCTCTCTATAGTCTAAGAAATTTGAAACTACGAGCATTTCATCACTTCAGTTTTGCAGGATATTAACAGCGCCATTTGTAAATTGGGAAAGCATCTGATCACACCGATATTGGTTTGATTAGATAATGTAAGGGCAGAGGAGATATCTAGAGTCTGATAGACCCCAGATTTCTCAAAAAAGAATATATGACAATGCCATTGAAGTTATAGGGGATATTTGCATTCCCCATGATAGTATTAAAAGTGATGATACCAAAAATTTTTTTTTAAGGGACAGTGTAATAATATATATAAAAAAAAAGCACTCTTGCCTCCCTGTGCACGCACTTGCGTGCACAAGCGTTGACCCTGTGTCGGTATGTAAACAGCGGTTGCTTCACGCGTGTGAGGTATCGCCATGAATGTCAGATCGAGGGCAGTAATTCTAGCACTAGACCTCCTGTGTAAATATAAATTGATAACCTGTGAAGGCTTTTAAAACCTCGCCTATGGATAATAAAAATTTATATACTTTGTTGCCATTGCACGGGCATGCGCAATTTTAAAGCATGTCATGTTTGATAAAATATAAAAGATGATGTTACGCTGAGTAGATACCAAACAATTGAACGATATATTGTGTGTTTGTGCATTAAAGTTCTAAAAAGTGTATTTTTACCAAAAGATTTGAGTTGCAAAATACTGCGTGCTGTAAAAAATTTCAACACCCACCATTTTATTCTCTAGTGCCTCTGCTTTAAAAAAATATATACTGTTTGGGGGTTCAAAGTAATTTTCTAGGCAAACATTTTTTTTCATGTGAACAAAGTGTCAGAAAAGGCTCGGTCTTCAGTCCCTAACTCACATTCATACATTTTTATTTTTTAGATAGAAGCCAATTAACCTACCAGCATGCCTCTCATCAAATTCCTTGGGGTGTCTACTTTCCAAACAGGGGTCATTTGGGGGGGTGTTTGTACTATCCTGGCATGTTAGAGCCTCCGAAACTGTGATAGGTAGTGGGGAAGTGATATGAGGAAATATGCCCTTTGAAAGCCTGGAGGTGGTCATTGGATTTTGGAGGCCTGTATGTAGCTAGGCTGCCAAAAAGTCTCACATATGGTATCCCCATACTCAAAAGAAGTAGGAGAATGTGTTTTGAAATGGTGTTCCACATATACTCATGACATGCATGAGCAATATATCATTAAAAAATGACAACTTTGTGTGAAAAAAAAAAAATCCAAAAAATTTGTGTAAAAAATAAAAATGTGCCATGGGCTCAACATGCCTCTCTGCAAAATCCTAGGGATGTCTACT